TATTGTAATAGATAGATACACTCAAATCAGAAAACTAAAATAATTCAAGTTTTATTTAAAAACTAGATATGGCCCCGTGCAAAAGCACATGTTTTATTTGATGTTTTCTTTTTATGAAAAAAAGATAAAAGTTGAAAAAATTTTGAACATCTATTTAGATCTTTTATATGTTGGTGTAAACTTATTAATTAATAATATCTTCGTTTTTGCCATTAATTTTGATTAATATTTATATTTTAGTAACTATGATGCTGTAAAAGACTATTACTAATTATTTAATTTATAATATTAGTTAATTTTAATATTTATAATATTAGTTAATTTATAGTTCAATTTAATTTTCTTTTTAACTTTTAATTATAATATTGGTTGTAGGTAACTGAAATATATAAATAAATATTGTTGTAAACCCTCTATACTTTTGTTTAAAAATTTAAAACAACACAATTCCAAATACTTAATGTATAATTGATCAATATTTTTTTATAATCAACTCAATATCAACTATGTTATTGGAAAAACATCAAATTTATTTACCATAACATAAAATGTGTGTAGTTTATCTCTTTCTCTGTATATTATATATTAATGAAACCTTTTTAATATTTTTAGAACACTATAATCATTATGTTATGTGCTTCTTAAGAATTTAAAGTGATACCATTGTACTGACTTTTAGTAGTATGACATACAATTTTCCATAGGAGAATAAAAAATTTGGCAAATATAAAATATTTTTTCTTCAAACTTTAGTTATTGTGCCAACACCGATCCATACCATTTAGCAAAATCTTCTCATCTTGGAGTGACTTCATATTTTTCTTAACACTGAATATATAACAGTAATTTTATAATATGAATGGTTGAATGTTATTATAATACCTTGTTGACTCATTTTTTAGGTATAATTGGTAGAGTTCATCTAAAAGCACAATTTAGAAATATTTTTTTCTGCCAAAGTTTTTTATTGCGTCTGAATCTGCCACAAAAAGTACATCTCACAAACTCTTATCAAGAACTTCAAACACAAATCAATGGTACATTAGATGTTTCATTCAAAATAATGAAATTTGTTCTTTCAAATAATTCAAAAAGCATGTTATCATGATTGTTGTCACACTTATTGTCTTGATAAAAATCTATTGGAACTTCGCAACGCTTATGTGTTGTTTACAATTGTAAAACCAACATTTCTAACAACAAAATTAAAGTAACTTTTTGGAGCATGGGCATAGTTTAACTACAAACATAATTTTTTCATAATTTTGATATATTCTCTTACATATATATAAATATTATTTAGTTATACATGTATATATATATATATATATATCTAAATATTATGAATAGAAAATATAAGTCATTTGTTGTACCTTTCAGTTGAATAATTTCTTCAAAATTTTGAAATCAATTTTTTTTTCACAGGATAATTGAAGAAATTGTTGTCTTACAGATTTTGTTCATTTAATAAGTTATATCTCAAATTTTTTATCAAATATTTTATAGTCTCTAATGCAAACTTGCATATTAAAGTTATAGATTTCAATACGATTTCTTTCACGTAATTCATCTTCAAAATTTTCTAAAAGTGATTGATGTACACATTCTTCAATTATGTTTTCTAATATTTATAACAAATTAATTTTTATAATAAAAAGATATCTGTTTTTTGAAAAAAAATATAATTACTTTCTCGTCATGTGATATAAAATTCATTTCTATAAGTTTGTTATTCATTTTTTTTTTTTTGCTCTTCACTTTCTACTAAGGGAAATTCTCTCAAATAGATATTTTTATTTTTTTCACAAAAATAGCATTTTTTTATTTCTAACATTTTAATTTTTCTTTATTTTTGAAAATTTGAAATCCTATCCCCAAAATACCACTCCTCAACTCTAAATCTTAAAATCTAAACCTAAACCCCACCTCTTAACTCTAAACCCTAATGTCTAGATTAATTAACCGTAGGAGTATAAGTGTATATTTACTTTTTTGATAAAATATTTAAGTCCAATTTGGTTATTTTTATTTTTAAAATTTATATTTGTGACAAAAACTTTTTTAGGTTTATCCTAGAAAATTTCTCTTCTAGTAAAGTGTACTAAACTTAATAAAAAGAATATTTAACTGAACATATGTTAAACAACTATATGAGTTCATGTTTACTTTAAAAAACTGATAAAAAATTAAGTTAGAAGAAAAAAAACTAAATTGTAAAAATTAGAGGTAAAAGTGACTTATGACACTTATAAACATGTAAAACATAATATTGTAATAAAGTGATATTAAATCAATTATATATTTTCTTACATTTACAAACACTTATTCGTAATATTTACATGTACTCATTTACAACGACATCATCGTAATTTTAAAACAGTTACAACATAATCATAAGATGTAGAAAGTGTCATAATAGTAAAATTAGCGTATGTATCATGAAAATAAAAAAGATATTCACGTAATATTTTTGTTGTAAATATTATTGTGTTATGTGAAAAAATATGAGAAAGCTTAAACAATTAGACCTATATATATATGGAATATTTGTAGTTATTTTGGTTTATGATTTTTTAAAATAGGAAATTTTTTATTAAAAATGAAATTTAGTTATTTATGAAGAAATAGCTGAAATTTTACTTTTACACCTCTTTTGTTTAGGATTTTCAAAAAAAGCAAAATTATATTAAATATTTTCCATAAATATATGTAAAGTTTATAATTCGATTTCGCATAGTATATTTTTTGAAAACTACTATTTTATTTTATAATTCTCTTTGTATAGGAATTAAAATAGGGAATTTCGGATAAAAAAGAAAACTACTTACAAATAACTATTTACAATTATCTTTTATTTCGGAATTTAAAAAAGGAAAAATATAATTTTGATTTATGATTTTTAAAATAGGAAATTTTCTATTAAACAGAAAGTTAGTTGTTTACAAAAAATAACTGAAATTTTACTTTTACACCTCTTTTGTTTAGGATTTTTTAAAAAGGAAATTATATTAAATCATTTTTATAAGTATTTGTAAAATTTATAAACCGTTGTCGTTTTATATATTTTTTTGAAAAATACTATTTTATTTTATAATTTTACTTGTGTAGGAATTAAAATATGGAATTTAAGATTTAAAAAAAAATACTTGCAAATAAATATTTACAATTATCTTTTATTTAGAATTCTAAAAAGGAAACAATACTATCAAATATTTTTTTATTAATTAATTCTATATTTATGATAACTGTTTTGACACATGTCATAATTTCACGATTTTTATTGACACATGCCACGATCATGTTAATTAGTAACTTTGAAAAACCAATCAAAAAATGAAAATTATATTAAATATATTTTATAATTATTTGTAAAATTTATAATTCGTTTCCACCTTATATATTTTTTTGAAAACGACTATTTTATTTTATAATTCTCTTTGTATAGGAATTAAAATAGGAAATTTAGGATTTAAAAAATGAAAATTACTTACAAATAACTACTTACAATTATCTTTTATTTAGGATTTAAAAAAGGAAAAAAATACTTTTGATTTTCAATTTTTAAAATAGGAAATTGTTTATTAAACAGAAAGTTAGTTATTTACAAAAAAATAGCTGAAATTTTACTTTTACACCTCTTTTGTTTAGGATTTTTAAAAAAGGAAAATTATATTAAACAACTTTTATAAGTATTTGTAAAATTTATAATTCTTTTTTGCTTTATATATTTTTTTGAAAACTACTATTTTATTTTATAATTTTCCTTATGTAGGAATTAAAATATTGAATTTAAGATTAAAAAAAGGAAAAATACTTGCAAATAACTATTTACAATTATCTTTTATTTAGGATTCTAAAAAGTAAACAATACTATCGAATATTTTTTATTAATTAATTTTTTATTTATGATAATTGTTTTGACACATGTCATAATCTCACGATTTTTAGTGCCACATGTCGCGATCATGTTAATTAGTAACTTTGAAGAACCAAGCTTTATATAATAAGATTCTAAAAAGTAAACAATACTATCGAATATTTTTTATTAATTAATTTTTTATTTATGATAATGTTTTTGACACATGTCATAATCTCACGATTTTTATTGCCACATGTCGCGATCATGTTATCTAGTAACTTTGAAGAACCACTTTATATAATAAGATATGAAGAAAACCGGGACCAGTCCCTATTGTATATAGAGATTTGAAAAAGATAAAAGAAAATAATTAGATTAATGGGGGTAGCCTTGGGCCAAAAAAAACAGGAACCGAAACTGAACCAAACCAAAACCCTCACATTTCCAAATGGTTACTATAATTTTGTATCCGAAATAACTGTACGGAAATCAGAACTGAACCGGTAACCAAACGGGTATCCAAATATCTAAAAAAACAAGCTTAAGCTTTTTAATATAAGGTAAAATGACATCAAGTCCACTCGAACCCAAGTTGTACATGAAGAATGAGAACATTGTTACCACAAAATCATGTTATCTTTTATTTACATTCTTATATTATAAATATATATCGTATTTCTATATTAAAATATAATAGATATTTTTAAAATTCACACTTTATTGATTAGAACTCTTGTTGGATTAACGATATGTAAGCATGTAAGCATCATACCATTTAAATTAACATGTTAACTAATATTATATATATATTTATATATGATTCACATATTAAATGGATATCCGAAACCGAACTGAAACCAAACGGGAACCTAATCGAAAGAGCCGAAATCTCACAAATACCTATTGGATATAGGAATGGTTTAGATGATATATTGGGTACCCAATGGTTCCTACTCTAAACCGAAAAAAATACCGAAATGCCCAGGGCTAATGGGTAGCGACAGTTTAATGAATAAGCCCAAATCGAAACCGCACCAGTCTCCAGGCATGTGGCTTCTCTTTGACAGGGGCTATCAGAGAGAGAGATGAGTGGGTTATGGTGAAATGGGACTTAGTTTGGGCTATTTTGTTAAATTTAGAACAAAACTTATGCGAAAAAGGAACATTAAAATCATTAAAGGCTGATTAGTGCAAAATATAATTGCGGGGTGAACCAACCCGAGTCAACAACAGAAATTGGAGTGGGGGAAATGGAGTCGGATGATCCGAAACTCTCAGAAGAGGCGACGTCGAAGATCGAGCAGCCGCCTTCCTTATCGGAGCGTTTACTGATCCCCACTCTTCTCGCAGGTTTCGACCTCTCCACCCTTGCTTTTGGATCTTTTAAGTTATCCTATTTTCGGCATTGAAATTCATTCCTAGAATCTATTATTTCCAGAAACTAGAACCAAGCAAGCAGAGAAGCTTAGCTTACAGAAATTGATTGTAATTCTTAACTGTGTTTGTTTTGATAATGTCTATCTTTTTTAGGGTTTTAGACTTAATGTGTTTTTTGATTAAAAAAAAAAAAGACTTAATGTGTTTTGTTGAAATTAGGTATTTGGGAATCGTAGAGAATGAAATGATACGTTGAGATTTTCCTAGACTTTTACATAGTTTAAGTTATCGTTGTTTGTTCAGAGCCCTTTTTTGAGGGATGACAGAACGATTGGTTGTAAATCTGAAATGTGTTCTCTTCTAGTGTATGGATAAAGATATCAGCTTTATACTATCTTATAAGGGCCTAGATTACAGTAACATCACTGTGTTTTTTTCTCTGTTGCTTAGATGTATGGAAAGTGCAAGAAGTATAATGCTAGAGATTTGGGGATCACAGATTGATCTGAGATTTTGAATGTATCCAATGCAGGAGTAAGTGGAGGAGGAGTTGGACTATTGTCAAAACGTAGGAAAGCTCATCCCAATATACCAGCTACCTATGCTACTAATTCTGCCATCGTTGCTGCTTCCTATTTGGGTAACTAAAAACCTCTCTGCTTGCTTGGACTATGAGACTCGTTATTTTCTACCTCACAAAATCTTTTCCCTTCTCCAGGGGTTCGTGAATTGGTTAAAGTAACTAGAAAATCACAAGACGATGATTTAATGAATTCAGCCATCGGTGGTCTTTTCACTGGTGCGTTATTAGGACGACTTCAAGGTTTGTTTTCTCTATTCTCTCAACTTAAACTCTCTGAAGAATTGCTTGTCTTAATCTCTGATACTAACTAACTAACAGGATGTGCTTTTTTCTTACTTCAACTTCATTACTTAAAACCTGTGCTAAATATATTACTTCATTTTCTCGTTGCTGAATGGATCGTTGTACATATTTTGTTGACCTTGAAACTAACAGTATAGGACATATTCACTGTGTGTTTGCAGGAGGACCTCGTGGTGCGTTTCGATACTCTATAGCTTTTGCTACGTTTGGCACAGCATTTGATTATGCTAGCCTTAGATCAAAACCTTTATTAGAGAGGGTGCGTAACATAGATTCAATCACGTTACCTGTGTGGTTTCCTATACAAATTCTCGACGAAGAAGCCCTTGCTAAAAAGAAAGCTGAAGAACAGAAACTCTTCCCAAGATTGAACAAAGAAAAATCTTGACATCCGATAAAAATCAGTTTCGAAAGCTGGTTTGTTTATTTCGTCGACGTAATTCCGGGTTTTGGATGACTTTGAAGAGGAACCTTCACCTTTTTGTTTGTTGACCTACAAAATGTTCACTTCTTAGATTTGCTTTGGCTGGTTGTGGTTGTTGAATTTGGTGTCGCTATATTCAACAGTTATGTGATATTACTATGTGGTTTTTTCGCTATATCCAAAAATAATAATTTTATAACTAAAAGTTTGTTATAAACGTGAAAAAACAATGTCAATATGGAGCATCGAAACTTTGTCAGTCTTGTGTAAACGTTTATCAGATGCAGTCCACATCACTATGCGTGCATTACTTCTAGTATTTCACCTCAATATGGTATTTTCATAGCTCATTTTTGAATAGCTGGATAACAGTCGAACTAAACGTGATTGGTCGTTTTCCTCTACTGTTCCACACCGTGTACACTCTATAGTAATTTATCATATATCACTATTATTTTTTTTCTACGGGTATAAAATTTTATCCTTACAAATATTTTTCAATACAATTTATAAGTCTTTTTATAACATATTATCAATACAATCATTTTGTAATTCGGTAAAATTTATATGTAACATATACCTGCTATAATGGTTGATATACTGCCTATATTACTGTTTATTATTTTGTAATTTTTTTTACTTAAATTATACTTATTATTAAATGAGAAATTTCTTGGAATAGCCACTTATACTTTATTTTTAGAAAGAATCCCTAATGAAAAAAAGTGAAAAAGAAGATTTTATCGAAGGATAGATATATTCTTATACCTTTTGAATCAACTAATCATAAGGATTAACTGAACTCTAGATTTTTTTTTTTGTTTCGAGTTAAGTGATTAAATTTTGGAGGTGAGGTTAACAATTTTCAAAATAGAAAATAAATTCTAAAATTTTATAGTTTCAAAAGCGTTTTTGAATTTGAAAAAAAAATTGAAAAATAAAAATATTTTGAGAAATAAAATTCTTATAAAAAAGTTTGAATATGAAAACATATAATTCGAAATTGTATAAATATTTTTACTTTTATATATTTTCTGTATGTATAAATAAAAAGATAGAATGTTCTTTTGAGTTTTTAATAATTGTTTTTGGTGATAAAAATGTGAAAATATCTATTTGAGAAAATTGCCCTTAATAAATTTGTAGTGAACATATAGAGTCTACATGAAGCTCTTGTGTAATCATCATTGGTACATAATAATGAAACATAAAAAGTTGATCATCTTAAATTATTTGTTTTGCCAATTCATCTGCAATATTATTCCCATCTCGGTTGATCCACTGAAATCTGACATCTTCAAACTTTTCCTTCCATTGGAGGACTTCTCTTTTCCAATTATAGGAGTCAAAATGTAGCGTTTGATGGTTGATTATATCCATTCCCTTTAAAGGAGTTGGCAAACAAGTTAAGACTGCTTTTTGTTACAAACAAACAAGTCAACAAGTTAAATGATTACAGACAAACTAATCAATTATGTTTATGTATAGACGGTTGATATTACTCAAAAATTTATCTAAGTTAGATTATATCTTTTAAACAAATTTGCCTATAAAAGTCTGTTGGTTAAATGAATTGATTTATTATATTTTATCTTTTATTTTATATATTTTAAACAAATAGGTCTTTAAAAAAATGTTTGGTCTTCTAAGTAATCATCTTGTCCCCGTATAAAGAAGTCAAATTATGAATTCAACTTTTAGGAATCAAATAGCAAACTTCTTTTTATTGATTGTATTCAATTTTGTCACACAAAAGGAAAACTTAATTATGTTTTTAAATTTAAGGTAAGTTTGAATAATGTTTTGGAGGTAAGTTATGTGAGATTAAATAAGTAATAGTATATTTAATTATGGTAATTTAATTTTATGTCATTAACCCACATTTTGCAGTATGGTTTTTTAATATAAATATGTTACTTACAATGCATCGAAACATCACATCTATTTTCTCTGATTTCTATATCAAAACTTTCACCCGAACAAAATTGTGGCTGGTTTTAACTTTGTTTCCGATTTGAAACCTTTCAAGACAATATATTTTGCTAGATCTAGTATTTGTGATATTAAAATTAATAATATCAGCTAGTATTTAATTATTAAAGATACACTTTGAAAATACGTGCTCATTTTTGCCTGTGTTGGGTATATAATTTACGGATATTAAAAGTTGCAGACAACCGATAAAAGTACGTATAAGCCAGAAATAGAGCGGTGAAGAGGTCAGGTGAGAAATAAAATAAAACCAAAACCTTTTCTTACATGCCTACTTTAAGTAATTGCCAATTGGCGAAACAACCTGCTTTTCAGTGGCAGTTTCGTAATTTGATAATTTCCAGCGTCCTCGGTACTATCGAGCCACAGATACAAAACACACAAATCCCTCCCCTCTGATTCTTCTTCTATAAACCAAAAAAACAAGGAATCGAAAATGTTGAAGCTTTCTTGTAATGCGACAAACCACTTACAAACCTTCTTCTTTCTCTCCGATTCCTCCCTCTACATTCCGGCTAATCGCCTTACCATCGCTGTCTCGTCTTCTCAGCTAAGGAAGGCGGCTTTAGATCCTCTAAGGGCAGTTATCTCCGCGGATCAGGGAAGCATCAGTCCGGTTGCGGATCGGTTCAGAGCTGGTCGATTGATGGAAGATGGTTATTCATATAAAGAGAAGTTCATTGTTAGAAGCTATGAGGTTGGGATTAACAAAACCGCCACCGTCGAGACAATTGCTAATCTCTTACAGGTTCCTTCTAATTACCTGCTTTTTTTTTATTATTACATCTTGCTCATTAATCATGAGATTAGTTTCTTCTTTGACACTATGCTATAGATTGGTGGCTAAACCGTCTCTTGTGGTTATTTTTTATATATATAGGAGGTGGCATGTAACCATGTTCAGAAGGTTGGATTCTCGACCGATGGATTTGCGACAACACTCACCATGAGGAAATTGCATCTCATTTGGGTCACTGCAAGAATGCACATTGAGATCTACAAATACCCAGCTTGGTAAGAAGGAGTTGACTTTGTTCAAACTTTTGAGGTCCGAGTTTCTAACTTCTTTTTCTTTTTTTTTTTTTTTATTTGGTTAACAGGAGTGATGTGGTTGAGATAGAGACATGGTGCCAGAGTGAAGGAAGGATTGGTACAAGACGTGACTGGATTCTAAGGGACTCTGCTACAAATGAACTTATTGGCCGTGCTACTAGGTTTGCCCTTTTTGCATTCCAAAACTTTGCTACTCTTCATAATTCTTTTGTTATCAGCATTCCTTTCTGCCATCACCTGAGCCATTTTTTTGTTTGACAAATGTTACTTGGGTCTCTCAGCAAGTGGGTAATGATGAATCAAGACACAAGGCGGCTTCAAAGAGTTACAGATGAAGTTCGGGACGAGTACTTGGTTTTCTGTCCTCGAGAAACCAGGTGAAGAATCATGGCTCCCTTCAATAATTACTATAATAACAGTTATCTACCATATGGATCTCAACCTCTTGTTCTTCTCATAGACTAGCGTTTCCAGAAGAGAACAATAGCAGCTTAAAGAAAATCCCAAAACTAGAAGATCCAGCTCAGTATTCTATGTTAGGGCTTAAGCCTCGGCGAGCTGATCTGGACATGAACCAGCATGTGAATAACGTCACCTACATCGGATGGGTGCTTGAGGTGAGTAACTTAGTAAAACCTCGGTCAATTTATTGAAGAGCTAACTATTAAAGTTGAGTTTGGCTCCCTTGGTAATGGCAGAGCATACCTCAAGAAATCGTTGATACGCATGAGCTTCAAGTTATAACTCTTGATTACAGAAGAGAATGCCAGCAAGATGACATTGTAGATTCACTCACCACCTCTGAAATCCCTGACCACCCGATCTCAAAGCTTTCCGGGACCAACGGATCTGCCACGTCAAGCAAACAAGGACTCAATGGGAGCCAGTTCTTGCACATCCTGAGGTTGTCAGAAAATGGTCAGGAGATCAATCGTGGGAGAACACAATGGAGAAAAAAATCATCACGATGATTTTCGTATGCTTCTTCAGTGTCAGTCAAGTTCTTGCTTCACTTTTACAGTTTTATTGTATCTTCTGATCAGATCTCTTTTTGGGTTAAGGTGGTATTGGATCAATGGTGTAGTAGAGTCACGTCTGTTTTGTTCATTTCTGTCCAGATTTTGGGCTTTAAGCCAAAACATTTCTTAGGTCTTAATCTTTGTCTGCTTGTATCTTTTCCTAAACTAGATTTGTTCATCCAACACTTTACATACGTTGAGTTTTTTTCTGATGAAACTGGTTATATAACGTAAGTGAAAAGTCCATTAATATGGAGAAGAAAAATGATGAAAATTGTTTAAACAGTAGTTTCTTAGTACATTTTTCATCATCTCCGTCCATGCCCTCGAGAGCCAATCTCCAATGGGTTTCTTAAATCCCTCCTAGTCGAGTTGATAAAGCACTTCTCCTTACAGTTGAGCTTCTTTGTTCCTTCGGAAGTGCCCCCCATGGCTTTAAGAAAATAGGAATCCCGATTTTCGCTATTTAATTTTTGAAATTAATTTTCAAAATAAAAATAAAAATTTTAAATTTTAAATTTTCAAATTTTGGTAACTACATAAAATTAAATGATTTAATATGATAATAATCCAATATTTTATATTTTCAACATTTATCTTAATAAATCTTCATTGGACTATTATTTATATGAAAATATACGTAAGATAATATATTTATATATTAATCCATATGTTATATAAATAATTCTTTTTGTGTAAAATTTATTTTATTTATTACTAATAAATAATAAAAATATAATTATATAGTTTAAAAAATATTATTTCATTAACTATTTAAAACTAGATTTATTAATTATTTTCAAACACACATATATATATATATATAATAAAATAGTAAAAGACAAATAATACTAAAAGCTAGGTTATTAATTATGATTGCATGATTTTTAGTTAAAATTTTATTTTATAAATACAATGATTAAATATGAAAAGACAAATAATCTTAAAAGAAAGATTAATTAATAATTTCAATGGCATGTCATTGTTAATAAGTTAAGGAGTATCTTATTTTTATTCTTCACTTTTAATAATATAGATAACTACCATTAAACAATATTTAAATTTATTAATCAAAAGCACATCTAATAATCAATAAATCTAGTAACTGAAATAAATCGAGTGTAATGCCATCAAACAAATGTCACAGAGAATGTAAAAAAATGTCACCAAGAGAAAATGGAAGCGGTATTGATCTAACATCGATTCATCTAGATATCTAACTACATGCCATACTCGCTTAACAAAATAAAAGGGGTCACTAACCTTTCTCTAACAAATCTAATTTTCTAAACTTTTGTTTGAGCTTAACCCTAAACAAACATTAACAAGTGGATTCAAACAACATATTACACTTTCGATGAGCGTATATGAGCGACATTAATGGTCAAAGAGCTCACTTTCCTTACTTGTAGTATTGATGGACATGCACCTAAAATAACAAGAAAATTTATAATTAACAAAGAAAAATAAGATTTAGACAACATATTTTCACCTAGTCTAATAGTGAATCAAAACACTCCCGACAAACGAACCAAATTTTATATGTTCAAATTACCCCAAGAGCAATCTCTCTAATAAGAGATCGATTGTATTATTTGGGGATCAATTCCACAATGCACATAGATCACACAATAGACTATCATTTATTTGTAAAACTAGAACAAAGATATAAATCAGTAAGTCAAACAGAACAAGAGATCGGTTTGTAGACAGATAGGAAAAACACTAGATCCACGAAAATCAAACAGACAATCAAAACTCAGATCAATAGTTGTTAAGGATTTATTAAGTTCAATCCTAGAACTCAAATTCAATTATTAGTCGTCCGACTCTCGCTGCAACGAACTGTCTAAGTCTTGATCCTTGAAGGCCAACACTCGCTTCACGACCAATTTCTCTAGACATGCATTAAGATTCAATTTTATATGTTCGCTTAGTTATTTAGACCAACTATCGTTCTGTCTAACAACCTAGCTAAGAAGGATTCAGATCATGATATTAGTCTTATTCCAATTATCCTAAGATCAAGTTCTAGTGAATAACTCTAGAACAAACAGTAAGAACAACCCCAATGAAGGAGAAAATGAATTACCCTAGCAGAATCACAAGTTCATCAAAGCCCTATAAAATCCTTAATTCTAACAAGGGGTTTTTGCAAAATTAACTCAAAACTCATAGTCAAACACAAAAATAACTTCTTCTTTTAACTCATCTTGTTTTTGTCCTATCCACCCCACATCTTCATTTTATTTACAAAAATGCCATTAATTTTTTTTTTCGAAAATGGCCTTTTTACCCTCTCAACCTCATCATCTTCAAGTATTTACAACATTGCCATTGCCATGAATACTCCCAACAACCTTGTACAACCCAACAACCTTCTACAACCAAGGTTTGAAGCTTTTAATGCACTTAAAATCGATACTCATACTCTCTTTCTCAATTGTTATGAACTAAAAACAACATCTCCTTCACTTTGTCTCCATATTCATACCAAAAACCCAAGCTTTTGATAGCAAAATTTTTATGGTTGATAGAGCCATTTAAGCATACAATTGTTGGTGGGTTACTTTCGTTCGAT